CGAGCTTATATGGGTAATTAGCTATGTGATTTAATTCATTCAAAACAACTTACCAAATACATTTGTTCCTGCTTTGTTGCTTTCTTTTTCTTTTTAGGAGTTATCCTAATAAAGGAACACAACAATAAATAATTGAAAAACCTTATGAATGATATGTAGGCAAGCAACCATTTTTAATGTTACATATTAACTGTGTAAGAGGTATTAAAATCAGCCTCAGCAGCATCACTGGTTAAAATATCAGCTCTGCTCACAATATATCAATACCAGAGAACAAAAATATTAACTAGTCATGCAATAACATCCAGTTAAATGGACTGATGATGCCCAAGTAGACAAAAGCGGTGAAACTTTCTTTCATGAAATAAATTTGTAAAGCAGGATCCTGAGACTTCTTTTCAGTGAAACAACTCTAAAGCTACATGTACCACATTGAAATATATTTGTACAAATAAGGCCATGACATGAAAACATACATTTGCAACTTGATAAGTAAAGTATCACCTCATATCCCAAAGATATTCACCAAAAAAGTAACAATTTTCTCGCACCTATTCCCATTCCTGCCTAAAATACTAAACATATGGCTCATTGCAGATGTAGCAAAGTTGCTACCTTAGTATTGACAATTCAGATCATGTGTACTTGAGGCAGTCTTGGTAGAGTGTCGATCGATACCCTTGATAGACATTCAATCAACATCTTGATTGACGTGTACTCAATTGACATCTTGATCGATACTTGGTTGACACTAGACTGACACTTAATCAACATCTCAATCGACACTTGATTGGCACTTGATCAACAGTCTGAGTGTTGACCAACTCATATGTGTGGGTGGTGTGTCTACGGAAATTAGTTGTCTGTCAACTGAGATGTGAATTGAGTGTCAACCAACTACTGATCAAGATGTCACTAGAGGGTCGATCGAGGGTATCGATCGACATCTTGACCACAAATGCCTTTAGTACACATGTTCTGAAAATTCAAGGTGGCATAAAACCCCCTTCTTGTACTTTTTTGGGCAAAAACTATCTTGAAATATGCAAACTGAAAGTCATACATGTACCTAAGGGTGTTTTGTTAGCAGGTTCTACTGTTAAGTTGGTGACTATTTTTCACATAACAGTAGCTGTCTTTCATATCTTCCTTGTCAACAGAGGGCCTTTAAACCCTTGTAAGACACAGAAAAACATAGAAAATGACCCAACCTGTTTTTGGTCCCTGGAGAATTTTCTGCTGGAAGTGTGGATGAGGAGGATGCACCATTTGCAATCAGGACAGTTTTACACTTAGGACCCGACACACTTTTAAAGTATCTCATTATAGATGCTTGATGTTCAGGAGAACTTTTGGATGAGCTTGATTCTGCTTCTTGGTCGGAAAGTTTCAGTGTAAAATCGCTCTCACTAGTGTCTGGTGATGGCATTGAAAGCAACAAGCTCATGTGACAGTCATCAGTGTGATGACTTGCAGACATTTTCCCCGTCAAACTTCCATTTTGATCAGTGTAGGACGGGTCAGGCAATACACCATTTGTTAAACCTGTAGTAACTGTTCTTTCACTGCCAGTGTCATCACTACATGATTGAAGATGTTCTTCTGATGAAGTACTGACAACAGAATTGGAAAAGAAGTATTCATTGCCACTTTTTCTTAAATACAGACCATCCAACACAGACCCTGGTCCACTGCAAAGACTTGATTCGGAACAAACAGATTCAATCTCACTTGCCGCAGATTTCTGCAAAGTTGGACTTGATTTGCCACTAACTGAATCAACCCCATTTATGTCGGAGTCATAATGTAACTTAGCTGACCAGTCAGCTCCATCACCGGTGCTTCCTTCCCTCTCTTTTACTTCAATTATCATTGTTTCACAGGGTTCTGTTTTATCTTTGCTTTTGCCACTGTTATCAACGTTATGCAATGTTCCATTCTCATAAACTTGAATCCCATTTTCTTGGGTATTTGACTCCAATTTCTCTTTTCTACCACCAGATTTGCTTTGTTTGACAATGCTAGCTGTCTTATGTTTTCTCTTCACTGCTGTTGAACAAGTTTGCTTCTTGGACTTTCTTTTAATACCAGAAGGACTATCATTCATCAAGTCTTGACTTTTCACATTTAATTTCTTGTGATCTTTTGGAACAAACAACTTTATCCTAGGAGTTGCATTTTGGCTTCTTGATCCATAAAAGCTGACTGGCATAAAACCACTAGGTGATCCCAGATCCTTTTTAAGAGTATTTCCTTCACTTACATCAACGGCACCATTGTGCTCTTGATCAGTTGTTTTTAGACTTGTCTCCTTGCCATTTGGCATGTTATGACAATCAATGCTTTTCTCAGGAGAAGAGCATACCTGGTTTTCAAATGTCTCCTTTATTTCAGAAGTAATATTACCACAGTCAATATCACTGATCAGATCACAAGGGGTTAATGAGACCTTCAACTTCTGTGCCATAATATTCAGTCTGTGACAAGAAAAAAGGGAGAATGGTTCAATAAATATCACACGACAAACTTCTGGAAAATATATGCATGACTTGTTGGTAGAAAAATGTTAGCAGTGAAACCCCAAAGGATATACAGTTGAACCCCACTATTTCAAACTCTAAAGAGAAATGAAAAATACAATGTAGTTCGAAATAGCAGAAGTTCAAAAAAGGCGATAATAAAATTGAGGGGCATATCTAAGGGAAATGGTTTTGAGTTTAAAATATCTGGGAATTTCCAATAACTGAGTTCAAATTAGTGGGGTCCAACTGTATTAATTATCAAAATGGACGTCATTCATTGCCACTTCTTTGACAGATATGAGAAGCATCACTAGAATAAAGTAAATATCACAGCCTCTGCCCTTCCCCACCCCAATGGATATCCAGGCATATCCAATGGGTGGGGGAAGGGCAGATAAATAAAAATAAAATCCAGGTTTTTATTCAAAGGGATTCATTTGTAAAAGTAAATGACAAAGGTGTGAAGGTGTCATGTTTTGGCAGATACAACAACCAAAGAAAACTTTTCAGGGCTCACCTGGTCAACCCCTTTCCCCCCTGATCTGTCTATTAGCATCACTAAAGCATGGGTAGCACTTGGTAAATTTTTGCCAGAATTTGTTTACTTTGTGGCCAAAATCTGTCATCAGGGGACATTGCCAAGTGCCACCCCAACTTTTCCAGTTGGCAAAAACGTCGAAAATTGGCCAAAACATCAAGGACACCGTAGTGCTTGGGTGGGGCAGGCAGATTTTAGAAAACTCTAGCTGAACAATAGGAATCACAGCTGTAACTGTCAACGCTTCTCAGTGAATGAAAATTTAACAGAACATTTTGTGACAAAGTTAAAAAGGCACACAATATTGTTTCAGTTCGCGCTTACTTTTTGCCATGGACGGACGTGGATTTTACAACCATTACAATCTGTCGCAGTTCCCCACTTTTTTTGATGGCCCAATGCTTACATACGAGTTTCCATAACCCAGGTGAAAGAGTCCTAAGGCAAGTATTTTCTCTGGTGGTAATGGTCGGTAATGGATCTCTAAAATGCGATTGTTGTCGTTTTAAACAGTGGCCCATCATACGAAAGACAAAAAAAATGCTGCTGATTTAACTGAATGAAAAGCAGAAGTATCAACTGTGATAGTTATCAGCAATGCTGCAACAGGACGCCTTTTTTGTCGCGTCTTTCTCGGGAGTTTTTAAAAGCTCCTGTCTTCCGACAACATGTGGATAAATGTATATCTGGTCTACTTCAGTTGTTATCACTGACACTTTTCTACCCTAGCGACCCTACTCAGTTTGACGTGAGTTTTTGCTTTCCAGTTGCGGTTTTAAATTTTCTGCGGTTTTTCGGTTAGCAAAGATGAGAACTTTGCCCAAGTGCGACCTATACCTAATTTCATTTGAAAGGTGTAAATGGGAGGCTAAAATTAAAACCAAATTTCCCATTCCATTTTGAATTTACGGCCTTGTTACTCATTATTAACAAGATTTCTTCAGCTGTTTAGATTCTAAATGTGATTTTTGCTGCGGGTTTGCAACTATAAACTCCACCACAACATGAGCACGAGCGTACATGTTAAATTTAATTAACACACTATTGAAGTCGTTTATTTTCATAATGTTAATGCAAAATTGATGCAAAAATCATCTGAACGTCTATCTGAAGAATTAAGTTGGCATTTAACTGTCATCTGGTGCTGCACAACCGAAGCACTTGAACTTTTATAAGCTTAAAGTGACTCGAATTCTTGACTGAACTGAAGTGAATAAAATTATTCCCATAATTATTAGAACGTCTGTATTATCAGCACACGTACATGTTCAACACTAAAAATGATTACAATCTAAAACCTACCTTTCAGTTTGGCTGGTTTGTCTGACGGCTATCTTAGACGGCGTGGATTCTCTAGAAGAAGAACAAATTCTTCCTTTTGTCATCGTTGTGCTTCATCTGTTGCTGAGAGGACGTTGTAAATAGAAATGACGGAGGATCGCAAAAAATTAAGCCTCAAATACACACATCTTTTAATCCATCAGTTAAAATTTGTAGCAATGAAAAGATAAACTAACTTTCTACTTTCATAGCTAATTCCACAATCGTATAAATCCTTTGGAATAAGAGAGTTTATGTAAAGGACGAAGTGCATTTCCTGTCATCCGCCATTTTGTCTCGTTTCGAACATTTGCATCAATTTTCGCGCGCAACTAGTTCGCAATGAGTCCTGGGACTTTTAGGACTCGCTCTACTGCGCCTTGAAGCACATACATATCATACACTGAAACTGTCGACCGTTGTCCGGTATAAAAGAAGTAGAATCAAGCTCTCACAGGAGTTCTCCAGAACATCAAGCATCTATAATGAGATACTTTTAAAGTGTGTCAGGGCCTCAGTGTAAAACTAAGCTGATAGCCACATCAGATATCATTGTACTGGGGAATATTGGCCTTCGGTCGTTTTGGTACAGACCTCGCTGTGCTCGGTCCGTACTGCCACGACCTCGGGCAAATACTCTCCAGTATACGGCCCTCGCACTCGCTTAGTAAGAGTTTATTATTTTGTACAATATTTTAATCTGGGAGCTTTAGAATTGTTTAGAAATAAATTTGGGTCCTGCTTCGTAAATTTCTGTCATAAAACAAAAAATAACACGAGCGCTCTGGATACGACACTCTTATTCGCAGCCGCCATGCCTGATACTGTAGAGGTGCTACCTTAGTCGATTATTACTAAGAGGGTCTCAAAGGGGCAGTGGCTAAATACGGCGAACGGTTATTACTTTGGCATTTTTGCGGTTAATTTATTTTGCTCACTGTTAACAGAAATCTTAAGTTAGAAATCAGATTATCATTGTCTTGAAAAGCCTTAGAATTAATTTTCATTGTTTGAAAAGTTAAAATTTATTTTGATTACTGTCAAACATATTTAAGGTGTTATTATGCCATTATTTTCCTTAGCACCAAGCCACAAGAAAAGACGCAAAAAGTCCCGACAAGAGATCAAGAAAACTTCACATTCTTAGCTAAATTGTTTTTGCGGTTAGCATTTTTACGACTAACGGTTAAAGTTTTTCAATTTTTACGCCTAACTGCTAAATTTTTTGCCTTGGGTTGTTACAGTTAACGGTTAACCTCATTAAGGCTCTCTATGACGAACGGGATTTCTACAGTATTGAAATTTTTGGAATTTACACAGTGAACTGATTCTGATGTAGCCTGCAACCAGGCTCTCTTGCCAGCGCTAGGAGCACAGGCTGACTGGTTATTTCTGATGTCAATGCCTGTAGAGAATGTAGAGTATAGGGCTCATTTTCATCTGAGGAGACTCGCAGCAAAGAGATTTCAACAGCTTGTTCCAGAAAAATTCTTTATTAATCATCTCACTTACTTCACCAACAGAAGATGTAGTCGACTGCAAAGTCTAATAACTTCCAGCAAGAGACTTCGATCTAGATCATAGTATCTTGTCTACATAAAGAAATAGTATTACTTCTTACTGATGACAGTTACATTCATGATTTTCCTAAAGTGACAATGATTAAATTCTGTATTAGTTTTCGCGCTTTTTTCAGCCCTCCAAAAGCATTGCCCATCGGATAAGATACAGCGTAAACACATGTTCCCTTAAAGAAAGAGCTACTTTCAACGTGAACATCTACAACCGAAAAGATTCCTTCGGACGTGGAGAACTACAGCTAAACTTAATTGTTTTTGTTACTCTAGTTTTGTGCCAGTGATACTTCATTTGTGATAATCTGAATATTGATTAAAACCTTTCTCAGCTTGCTTTGTGAGAGTCTTATGAGCTTGAATTATAGTTCATGTTTACTTTCTAATTCAGAAATGTCACAGAGATTGCATCTGTTTACTTTACATAACTCATATGATCCAGATCAGTAACAAGTCAGCAATTCACCCAAGCGTTTGTATCAAAGGCAATTAATATTTACTTATACAATGATTTTCTGCTTGTCTTTTCGTTCTTATCCTAAAACTTTTTCAAACTTAATTATTTGGCAAAAATTCTAAGTTAATAGGGTTCAGGATCCCTTCTCTATCGCAAGGGAAGAGGCACAGGACAGTGGAAGGACGAAGGACGAATTCGGCTGTTGCAGCATCGATACCCAAAGGGAATGAAATATGAAGTGCCACACTTCACGCAAGTTGACCTCAAAGGCGCCACAGTGGTACCATGACAACACTGCTGGACAGAAGGATTGATGATGGTATTGCCACAAGCCAGAGGGTTGGGATTAGGTTGACAAGGCACCACTTTGGGAATGACTCGAGAGTTGCAGCACTGTTGAGTGTGAGGTACGTAATAGGCTTGTCCACAAGGGAGTTTGGTACAATGGACTTGGATGGATACTATTTGACCCATGCAACAACGGTGGGTCCGTGGATTATACGAAAAGCCACCACATCGGAACTTTGTCGGGAATGGAATGCAAGGTACCGTTTTAGGAATGACTCGAGAGTTGCAGCATTGTTGTGTTTGAGGAACGTAATAGGCTTGTCCACAAGGCAGTCTGGTACAAAGAACTTGGATGGACACTATGTGGCCAAAGCAGCACCTATGGGACTGTGGATTATATGAAAAGGCACCACACTGGAGCGGCGTCGGAAATGGAGTGCAAGGTACGCCTCTTGGAAGTACCCGATTGTTGCAGCATTGTTGGGTATGAGGAACGTAGAAGGCTTGTCCACAAGGCAGTCTGGTACAAGGAGATTGGAGAGGTACAACTTGATTGTAGCAGCATCTGTGGGTCTGTGAATTATAGGATAAGCCACCGCATTGGAAGGGCGTCGGTGGTCGAATGCAGGGTATCGTCCGAGGAATGACTCGAGAATTGCAGCATTGTTGAGTTTGAGGAACGTAATAGCCTTGCCCACAATGCAGTCTAGTACAACGAGCTTGGAGGGAAACTATTTGGCCAAAGCAACATCTATGGGTCTGTGGATTATAGGAAAATGCACCACATCGGAACGGAGTAGGGAATGGAGTACAAGGTACAGCTCTAGGAATGACACGGCGGTTGCAACATTGTTGAGTTTGGGGTACATAGTAGGCTTGCCCACAAGGCAGTTTGGTACAACGGACGTTGATAGCAACTATTTGGTTAAAGCAGCATCTGTGGGTTTGCAGATTGTAATGATAGCCACCACACAAGGTTGGTATTGGAAATGGATGGCACGGAACACTCTTGGGAATGACTCGGGCATTGCAGCATTGTTGGGTATGAGGAACGTAGAACACTTGTCCACATGGCAGTCTAGAACAACCAACTTGGAGGGGTACTATTTGACCGAAGCAACATCTGTGGGTCTGTGGATTATAAGAGAAGGTACTGCATCGGAACGGAGTGGGAAATGAAGTGCAAGGTACAGCTCTTGGAATGACACGAGAATGGCAACATTTTTGGGTTTGAGGAACATAATAGCCTCGTCCACAAAGCAGTCTGATACACGGCACGTTGATAGATATTATCTGGCCAAAGCAGCATCTGTGCGTCTGTGAATTATAAGAAAAGGCACCACATTGGAGCGGCGTCGGAAATGGAGTACAAGGAACGGTTCTGGGAAGGACTCGATTGTTGCAGCATTGTTGGGCATGAGGAACGTAGAAGCCTTGTCCACAAGGCAGTCTGGTACAGGGAGTTTGGAGGGGTACAACTTGGTTGAAGCAGCATCTTTGGGACTGTGGATTGTAGGATAAGCCACCGCATTGGAAGGGCTTCGGAGATGGAATGCAGGGTATCGACTGAGGAATGACTTGAGAATTGCAGCATTGTTGAGTTTGAGGAACGTAATAGCCTTGCCCACAATGCAGTCTAGTACAACGAGCTTGGAGGGAAACTATTTGGCCAAAGCAACATCTATGGGTCTGTGAATTGTAGGAAAAGGCACCACATCGGAACGGAGTAGGGAATGGGGTACAAGGTACAGCTCTAGGAATGACACGGCGGTTGCAACATTGATGAGTTTGGGGTACATAGTAGGCTTGCCCACAAGGCAGTTTGGTACAACGGACGTTGATAGCAACTATTTGATTGAAGCAACATCTGTGGGTTTGCAGATTGAATTGATAACCACCACACAAGGCAGGTGTCAGGAATGGGTGGCATGGAACACTTTTGGGAATAACTCGACCACTGCAGCACTGCTGGGTATGAGGAACGTAGAACACTTGTCCACATGCCAGTCTGGAACAACCAACTTGGAGGGATACTATTTGACCGAAGCAACATCTGTGGGTCTGTGGATTATACGAGAATGCACCGCATTGGAACGGAGAAGGAAATTGAGGGCAAGGTACTGCTCTGGGAATGACGCGAGAATGGCAGCATCGTTGGGTTTGAGGGACATAGTAAGCTTGCCCACAAGGCAGTCTGGTACACGGCACTTGGAGAGACACTATTTGACCAAAGCAACATCTGTGGGTCTGCCGGCTGAAGAAAAAGCCACCACATTGGGCTGTTGCTGGAGATGGATTGCATGGAACACTCTTGGGAATGATTCGACCGTTACAGCATTGGTGAGTGTGAGAAACGTAGACGACGTTTTTACAACGCCGACTAGAGCAGGGAACTTTGATTGGAAGTATTTGACCACGGCAACATTTCTGACCCTGTGGATCATAAGATAGCCTACCACATCGCTTCGTCACTGGTATACACTGGGAAGTCTTGGGAATTACACGGCCGTTGCAACATTGTTGGTGGTGGGAAATATAATGGATGTTTGCACAGCGCAACCTGGAACACTTGACGCCCACTGGAATTAGTTGATTGTAGCAACACTTTTGGCTTTTACGACTGTAGAAGGACTGACCGCAACGAGAACGTTTCAAACACAAGGTTGAGGCAAGTGTCTTTGGTACGATGCGTCCGCCACAGCATGTGTGTTGTAAAGGGTTGTAGATGACTTTTCCTACACAGCACCGCTGACTGTTGCGGTTATATATTTTAAGCCCACATTTGGGGTTAAAAATACGAGACCTTTTCGCGTCGCTTGGATCTACAACAGGAGAAAAATGATCTCGTGTTATTTTTGCTTGTATCATGGAAAGAATTGAAGGAGATAATGCACTTTTGCTTTAGAAAATGCTACATGTCATGGTAAATAAAGTCATTTTTTTTCGATGTACAAGCCACTTTCAAATTGAAGGAAACGTTGACAAAATATCGTACTAATAAAAGCAACAATTAAAGAAGTTATAATGATGCAAACGGAAACAATTCAAGGATGGAGATATCAGTGGCAAAATTGGAAGTGTCATTCATTTCAAGTCTCAAAACTAGACTATTCTAAACTTTCTGAAAGTATGCAGCTTTTAAAGACCACTGTGACTGGGGGTGGAAAGCAATTCGTTTGGACTCCAAATTAACCCAGACGTAACAAAGTAAATGTGCCCCTTTCAAAATTCCTGATTAGAACTACACTTTGAAAATTAACAATTATATTTGAAACAGAATCTAACTAACTCTACGGGAAATTTGACTTTTTACCGATTTCACAACTTATCGATTCCTCATATCTAAAGAAAATATTGGCCAACCAAATGAAACATGGTGCCTCTCACAACTGATTTTACTGACCTTCTTCGTTATTCAGCATGCTTGTCTCTTCATTATCATTGTCTTTACCTTCCTCGGGCGAATCAACATATTCATTATCTTCATTAAACTCTGGAAAATTGAAAAAAAATGGATATCAATCAAAACATTGCTCATACTTGAAATTTGACTTTTCCGATTTCGCAACTGATTCCTCATATCTAAAACAAATATTGGCCAACCAAATGAAAAAAGGTGCTTCTCACAAGTGATTTTACTGACCTTCTTCGTCATTCAGCATGTTTGTCTCTTCATCATCATTGTCTTCATCTTCCTCGGGCGAATCATCATATTCGCTATCTTCATTAAACTCTGCAAAATTGAAAAAAATGAAATCAATTTCTAATACTTGAAACCCACTGATTTATTTTTCCTTTTTTGTTGTTTGTCTTATTAATTAATTAAAGAGCCAGCTCCCTCGATTTTTGGAGCCTGTATATACGAGACATATATTGATCGAGGTAACAGCATTGTTCTTATTNGTGCCCCTTTCAAAATTCCTGATTAGAAGTACACTTTGAAAATTAACAATTATATTTGAAACAGAATCTAACTCTACGGGAAATTTGACTTTTTACCGATTTCATAACTGATCGATTCCTATATCTAAAGAAAATATTGGCCAACCAAATGAAAAATGGTGCCTCTCACAACTGATTTTACTGACCTTCTTCGTCATTCAGCATGCTTGTCTCTTCATTATCATTGTCTTTATCTTCCTCGGGCGAATCAACATATTCATTATCTTCATTAAACTCTGCAAAATTGAGAAAAAATGGATATCAATCAAAACATTGCTCATACTTGAAATTTGACTTTTCCGATTTCGCAACTGATTCCTCATATCTAAAACAAATATTGGACAACCAAATGAAAAAAGGTGCTTCTCACAACTGATTTTACTGACCTTCTTCGTCATTCAGCATGTTTGTTTCTTCATCATCATTGTCTTCATCTTCCTCGGGCGAATCATCATATTCGCTTTCTTCATTAAACTCTGCAAAATTGAAAAAAATGAAATCAATTACTAATACTTGAAACCCAGATTTATTTTTCCTTTTTTGTTGTTTGTCTTATTAATTAATTAAAGAGCCAGCTCCCTCGATTTTTGGAGCCTGTATATACGAGACATATATTGATCGAGGTAACAGCATTGTTCTTATTGTTTACTAATGAACTTAGTTTTACAACATATGGTGCAGCATCATTTGGGTGACTGAAAAAAGTCTCGAGAGAAAATGAATATTTGTGAAGTAACATTTCCACAACTCGAGTNTTTCAGACTACTTCGTCGACAGTGCTCACACGATAGCTCAGTTACAAGTCACAAGACGTTCTTTCGCTTAGTTTTTAAGAACATGCAAAGCCTGCAGTTCCCAACCTCTGTGAGTCCTCTCTCTACCTCGAAAGGTAGAGAGAGGACACTGGGAACGAGATTGTACAGATCGACGGAAAGCAAGATCATGTCGTCATCGCTCTCGATAAAAGAGAGACACCCAAGAACTAGATTGATTGTGCAATATTTTGTGCAATTTTAATTAATCGCGTCTCAGTCGCATCGCGTCTTAATCGCGTCGCTGACTAACTGGATAAGTGTTGGAAACTCTTAGCTTTCCTTTAGATTATATCAAGCCATCAATTATCGGGAAGAGAGGAGAGATAATACTGCGCTCTGTTTATGACCGTGGATAACAAAAGTCACGGTGTTCACGATTCTCAGTGGTAGGCTCAAGCGATCAAGTGTATTAGTGGAAGCTCACGGCGGCTTGCTCTAGGCTCAAGGTTCGTGGGTACACATATTCTGAACTTGTTGTATCAAGTTATATAGAATAAGTATCATTCTGGATCTCGTCACTTGATGATCTGAATATCGTTCACCAAGGTTAACAATACGGCTGACTGTTTCGAAGGATCTAGGCCAAAGGGTGAAAATTTACTCTGTTTCATTGCCAATAATAAGCTTGTGCTTCTCGTATGACGAATGGGCAGTTGGTCAGCAGTTTCGCCGATTAACACGTGTTTTTTTCAGCAATTTAACATCAAGAAGTTTTGTGGAAAAAGGTTTTTAATGACGTCATACTTTTATCTCTCATATTTAATTCTTTCAAAGTTTATCATTATCACAATAAACTCTCTCGTAGCTCCTCTTCAAAAACTCCTCAACCCTCAAAAGTCGCAACCAGGTAGTAAGAATATCGAAAATAGCCAACTTTGGTATATTGCAATGATGTACTCTTAAATTCTTATTAACAAATCAGAAGACGTTTATGGCAGTGAGTAGCAAGAATTACGACATTCATGCTTGGAACTAAACTGTAAATACGGATGTCAAGGACCAGTACTGCGTGCGGTTACATGGTAAACTGATTTTCTAATTTAATACAATCCCTTGTGAAATTAATTAAATGAATGTCGAGGTAAATTTTTCACGGAATTTCATACCTTCGTTATCTTCAAACGAGAGGTCTTCCTCGCCAGCGTTCTCTTCGCTTTCCTCTGGGGAACTTTCAATGTCTTCGTCCTCGCTGTAACCTAAGAGGCATAACATGGCTAGTTAGAACTGCATGTTTTTATACAATTTTTCTAGGAATTGTTAATTCGACTATACGTCTAGGATTGAAAACGTATCTGAACGAAGACAATGATCAGTATTGCTCAATATATTGCTTTCATCGTAAGCTGATTTTTTAAGAAACAATGCTTCGCTTTTAGGTGGTTGAAATTTAAATGAAGAATGCAAAAAGCAATGTTTCAGAATTTTCTACCTTCGTTATCCTCGAATGAGAGGTCATCTTCGTCAGCACTGTCTTCGCTTTCTTCTGGGGAACTTTCAACTTTGTCTTCGCTTGTTCCTAAGAATTGACATTTTTAGTTATAACTTTCTCTATTCCTTTACGAATTGAAAATTCTGTACTGAATAAGTTAGGGGGAACAAAACGTTAACATGATAGAATTAAGTGAATGGGCAGCCGGTACTGTTTAATACAGAGCTCTTAACCGCAAATTTGCTTATTAAGAATTATTACTGAAGAATGGAGTTTAAATTACAAATTAAGGCAATCAATTATTGTTTCAGAAATGCTCACCTTTGTCATCCTCTAGTGAGAGATCTGCTTCGTCAGAACTGTCTTCGATCCGTTCATCGGGGGAATTTTCAACTGCATTGTCTTCGCTGGGTCCTGAGAATTAAGCAGAGCCTTATTCCTCTCACAGTGTAATCGATATTTTTACAGAGCAAACCTTCTGGAGACAATTGAAATAACCGAGAGTACGGAGAACAAATCCCAGCAAACCCTATAACAGTTCAGTATTTACAGGAAAAGGACTCTAAAATTGGCACGAATTCAACAGAAGGCGAGAGATAAGCTGATGGTAGGAGTGAAAATGGATCAGGCAGTTTATAATGTGGATAAATTACGGGTTTGGACCAGATCGATTGCTGTTGACACTAAAAGCTGCGTATTAGCCTATTAATATAATATAACACTTTTTTCCAGTTTCTTTTATGAAGTCAAATTAGCAATAAAAAAAAAAAAAGACTTTTAAGCAGAAAACTAAGACAGAAAATCACACAACAACTAAGTATTTGTACTGCACGTTCAAGCTCTTACCGTTTTCGGCCTCGGCTAAAAGATCATCTAATAGTTCCTGGTCTTCTAGAACTGGTTCATCATTTTTGATCTCTAAATCCTTGTCGGACAAAATCTTCTCCTCTTCAGCATTTACTAATAGCATTGATGTAGAAACAGCAAGAAGAAAAATACCGATTCCACACAGAAATCGAGCCATCTTCACTCAGGGTAACCGAGTTTGATGTGTTACTTTCCCGCAAAAAAAACACTTCCTTTTATACAGTTTTTTTTTTGATGACCACACAGAAAAACCTAATCTGCACTTAAATATTTATATATTGTCTGAGTAATTCAGTAATTAAGGATAAGGGTCATTAGACCAAAAAAGAAAAAGTGGATTTTATTTTAGTCGTTATATTACCTTCATTGGGAGACGAGGCTAGGAAAAATTCTTCATATAATCAGCGCTATTTTTAATTTATTTCTGTAAAACTTTAGCGGCTCCAAAACTGAACAAGTATGGATTGGAAATGTTGCCTTCGAATTCATTGATAAAATATTACCTTTTTTTAGTAACAATCTAGAGAATTTGTAAGGGTCAGAGATCGGTAACTTGCAGAATACTTGAAGCCAGTGACGTAAATCTCCGTGTTACAGCCTCGCTGACATGATTTCAAGACATGTAAGGGTTCGCGTGGAAAGGATTTCCAGTTACCTCATGCCCAAATCAGCACTCCTTCGGTCTTGTAAGGAATCCATGTTCTGTTACGCTTTGCTGCAATTTAAAATGTTTCTCAACATGGTCTCCGTTCGATTTTAGTGGCGCTTATTCCCGATATCCATATGAAAGAACTAGCTCAATCATCTGTTTTGCTCTATTTTGTGAACAAGTAACCTCGTGGGAAGCAATAAGCTATCTTTATTTCAATACAAAATTTCTCTATTACTTTTATATGACTCACGATACAATCTCAATTCGGCGAAAATCACCAAGAATAGTCTCATGAAGTGACTGACCGACATTATAACGGACCCCGCCTAGTCCGGGCCGGACGATTGAGGCCAAAAAAAGGCCCTGCGAGCAAGGTACAGTATCCGTAGTAAAAATCGCTATAAGCATTGTATTGAAGAAACCTAAAGATAAATGAAACACAACATTTGTACATTGTTCAGATCTGTTCAGTTACAGTTATTAAAAATGGTCGTTTTACATTACATTCAGCCAATTTACAAGGATAGTGTTACTCAAGGACCTTAGTATCCGCTGGTATTATAAAACGGGCGAGGGGCCTTTTCATATTTCATGAAAAAAATGGGAACTTTTCTTCGGGACAAAAAACATACGTTTTTATAAAATGGCTGAGAGAAGAGATCGCAGTTTAGCCCACATTTCTTGATAGAATGCGAAACGGTCTCTTTCAGTCCTTTCAAACTGTATTCTGGACTGAAACACCAGCATTTTTTGCGTTTGTCACCAATATTGCTCGGCGCATGCACATTGCATCAGATCCTTATTTTAGAGGTCGTGAGCGTGCCCACGCAAATATATTTTAGGACCCTTCACGGATGAAGGATAATATCAAGCACATTGTGTCCTGGTTCTATTCAGACCGAAATGAAACAAACTGAAAAGCTATCTGAAGCAGCCTCTATCACTGAGTTTACTCAACCACCTACGCAATGAAGTAGAGTTTGTGTCAAACCCAAAACCCATATAACAATATCATATGTTTCTTGTTTCTCTTTTAAGTCAATCACGTTTGTAAACTCTCGTATCATTTAATGATGATCTCGTAAATTCTACGTCAACAAAAATATTAATTCGTTAACTTTGAAGAGCACTCGAGTCCAAAAATTGCAGAGAAAATTGTAAATTTAATTTTGTAACCGGATTTAAAGCAAGCAACGAAATTTCTGTCTGGAATACAATTACTATTTAATTTCAACACAGAATTAAAAGTTTGCATCAACACGTATAGTCCAATATACTGTAGTAAGTCAGTGACACTACTTCTCAACAGATCACTTTCGTGTTGGCGAAACAAAGGCATGACGCTTTAAGTTCTATGGCGTTTTTATTTAAGTTACAATGTATAGAAACTCATAGAGTTTTGCCTTTTTTTCCAGACTGTTACGTTCGTAAACACTTAACTCACTTGATTGATGCTCCATACCATTTACGTCAAGAAAAAAATTATTCAAAATGCGACTGTGCCTTTTATTTGAAACATGCTTAAACGGTATCTTTTGATTTTACTAGAAAATTGACTCAAACTTGGTCAAATCAATTTTTAATGAGCTACAAAAACCTAGCAAACCAGTAAAAGTTCTATTGTACACAGGAGTTTTGTCATTCTTCTTAAAAACTATCCGGGCTCCGGTCGGAAATAAAAACTTCCCGTGTCCAATTTATGATTTAGACCGATTACTGACAGCCCTCTTTCAGAGGCAAAAAATACCCAGATATTCGTTTATAAATCCATACATGAACAATACTAAACACAGTGGCCAACCTTCCGATATAACGAACAAAGTTAATATTGTCAACCTTGTCGATCAGTATGTAAAGATAGTGAACGGGACCGCAAACTGATCACGTCAGTAGAACAAGTTGCCGCTAATAACCACAACTAACAGGCTCGGTCACGGAAAGGCGAAGAATTTGCTGGAAATTTCCTCTGATATTAGGATGATATAAGGATGTCGTCGAAGCATTTTTCTGTCATCACTCCCGGCACAGTAGGTGAGGTTTCCCTTCAACAATCGATCATGAAATGGTAACTCAACCACATTAATCGTGCTGCTCACAACCAGTAAGTTGGTTGAATTGATGATTTGTTTACTTTATTTTTGACTCGTCAGTTGACCCCTTGACTTGATTTTTTAATTTTTTTTTACTAAATTTGTAATTTGTAACTATCGTTTTCATTAACTCTTTTATATGTATATACCTCTAACTAACCGAGTTCGAGGTCCGCACTGTAAGTTACGGATCGAAGGAAAGAAGGAAGACTCAATTAGTGAATTGCGAGTTTTCCTTTGTAATGTATTGTAAATATTTTTTAGAAATGTAGCGTAAATTATTGAAGTAGCCTACTCTTACAAAGTGCTGTATTGTAAAATTATTGCAAGTAATGTACTGCTAGTACATAGCAGACGATGTACTTAATTGCAATGTCAAAAACAATTGTAAAGTATTGCAAGTTATATATTGTCTAGCAATGTAATGAACTGTTTAAGGTGATTCCTCAGAAATAAAAGTTGCAGAAAAATTTTTTTGAAACTTTCCCTGAATATTCCCTACCAAGCACTATCTCGAAAAATACCATAAAAAGAATATTTTACCATGCTCGCTTAAGTGATATGATGGGCCAGTCTTATCCCATTTATGCCTAACCATGCTCGTTATTTCATCAGTTCACGTTACATTTTGCGGTAGCTGAAAGCAAAGGTTACTAAAAAAGTACTTGAAAAAAATCTTGATAGGTATAAAGTCTCGGGAGCTTGGAACAATGTAATTTATAATTTATGAAAAAATCACTCAATTCTAAACGTCTTTGACTCAAACGTTCCTGGAATCGTTGTTTTCGAGGTCATAATTCGCATTTTCGAGTAACGGTTTTGTTCACTCTTTTAGCTATATCGAATTTTCCTTCTGAACAATTTTTTTTTTCTTAATTTTTTTAACTAAAAGCGGGTGATTTGTTCACCAAAATGATGCAAAAAAATATAGGTCACCATGCTTGTTTAAGAGCTTATTAAACGAGCATTTATTTCGCTTTCGAGGTTAGCTTGAGGGAAATCTCTAACGTGTGTAAGTGCATGCGCTCATGTGAGAGCGCTAATGACGCGAAAATCGTGCGCAGTAGAGATGCGCAATGCAATACTGAGGAATATAATCACAATAGTAAGTGTTGTATTGTAAAACTATTGCTAGTACTGTATTGCATGCAATGCATTGGATTGTACGTAATGTTAAAAAAAATGTACTGTAAGAAAAAAACATTAACTCTTTCATTAGTTCATTTGTTACTTCTGTGGTTTAATTGTTTCATTCTTTTGCATTTTCAATCAATCGTTCGAATATTCGTTGCTTCTTTCACTCGATCGCTTATAGTTGCTTCAGATAAATCTTCGCTGATTCTATTAATTGCATCAAACGAACACACCAATCAAGGATCTGAGCAAAAGGACAACTGGTCTCAAGTACGGAAAGTGTGAGATCAGGACATGTGGTAAGCAGGCATGCAAATTCATTGGAACGAAAGAAAGTCTTTCCCCAAGAAAAGAGTTTAACTTCCGCAGGACACAGTCCGGTGCCACTATTAGGCCCCGCCCATACTACACCGGACGAATTTGAAAACGGAGGTTTCACTCTGAAAACGGATCAAATGTTTACCGTCCACACTACGCCGGAGGAATTTAAACAGGCAACAATCATCGGTCATTTTGGGTTTGTGTTTGAGGAAAAATCGCTCAGGGAAATCACGTGATCATCGTGAAGACATCGTTTTCGAAAAGCTCCGTTTTCAAAGTGTTTTCTGACCACATGAAAACGAAAACGAAAAGTCCGGGTTTTCAAATCCCTCCGGTTTGAAGAGCGTTTTCGAAAAGCTTCGTTTTCGTGACGGACTAGTCTGGACAGCAGGCCTAACCGACCTAACCTTACAGATAAAGCTGCGTTTTCAAATTCCTCCGGCTTGGTTTGGACATTTCCTTATTTTTACTAAATATTATATGCAGGTGAAAGTTGCTGTTCAAAAGTTTGACTGCTTCTTATGTGACGACTTTTAAAGTAAAAAAAAAAAAATAAAATGAAACTTCGATAATGAGGTTCCGATACATGCTTCTTTCAATTATAGCGTTGATAGTTTCTCCGCAACTTAACTGCTTCATGACAAGAAGAGATGTTACTTTTGACATCGTGAGGGCCTGGGCAGAGTTGATTAAAAATGGGGCTGATAATTTGCGCCTTCTCAAAAACGCTGCTACCTTGGCGGAAGGTCACGTCTTAGGCCTTTCGGCACAAATGTCCGGATATTTTTAGGGATATCTAGAAGTTTGCGAGATATTTAGAACCTATTAAAATATTTAGAAATTTTAGGGATATTGAGAAATATTTATAGCTTCTTTGGCTGAACCCTGTACTTTTCTTGCTATTTTCTTGAAACAAGTAATACTCAGTTCCNAAAAGCAATGTTTCAGAATTTTCTACCTTCGTTATCCTCGAATGAGAGGTCATCTTCGTCAGCACTGTCTTCGCTTTCTTCTGGGGAACTTTCAACTTTGTCTTCGCTTGTTCCTAAGAATTGACATTTTTAGTTATAACTTTCTCTATTCCTTTACGAATTGAAAATTCTGTACTGAATAAGTTAGGGGGAACAAAACGTTAACATGATAGAATTAAGTGAATGGGCAGCCGGTACTGTTTAATACAGAGCTCTTAACCGCAAATTTGCTTATTAAGAATTATTACTGAAGAATGGAGTTTAAATTACAAATTAAGGCAATCAATTATTGTTTCAGAAATGCTCACCTTTGTCATCCTCTAGTGAGAGATCTGCTTCGTCAGAACTGTCTTCGATCCGTTCATCGGGGGAATTTTCAACTGCATTGTCTTCGCTGGGTCCTGAGAATTAAGCAGAGCCTTATTCCTCTCACAGTGTAATCGATATTTTTACAGAGCAAACCTTCTGGAGACAATTGAAATAACCGAGAGTACGGAGAACAAATCCCAGCAAACCCTATAACAGTTCAGTATTTACAGGAAAAGGACTCTAAAATTGGCACGAATTCAACAGAAGGCGAGAGATAAGCTGATGGTAGGAGTGAAAATGGATCAGGCAGTTTATAATGTGGATAAATTACGGGTTTGGACCAGATCGATTGCTGTTGACACTAAAAGCTGCGTATTAGCCTATTAATATAATATAACACTTTTTTCCAGTTTCTTTTATGAAGTCAAATTAGCAATAAAAAAAAAAAAAGACTTTTAAGCAGAAAACTAAGACAGAAAATCACACAACAACTAAGTATTTGTACTGCACGTTCAAGCTCTTACCGTTTTCGGCCTCGGCTAAAAGATCATCTAATAGTTCCTGGTCTTCTAGAACTGGTTCATCATTTTTGATCTCTAAATCCTTGTCGGACAAAATCTTCTCCTCTTCAGCATTTACTAATAGCATTGATGTAGAAACAGCAAGAAGAAAAATACCGATTCCACACAGAAATCGAGCCATCTTCACTCAGGGTAACCGAGTTTGATGTGTTACTTTCCCGCAAAAAAAACACTTCCTTTTATACAGTTTTTTTTTTGATGACCACACAGAAAAACCTAATCTGCACTTAAATATTTATATATTGTCTGAGTAATTCAGTAATTAAGGATAAGGGTCATTAGACCAAAAAAGAAAAAGTGGATTTTATTTTAGTCGTTATATTACCTTCATTGGGAGACGAGGCTAGGAAAAATTCTTCATATAATCAGCGCTATTTTTAATTTATTTCTGTAAAACTTTAGCGGCTCCAAAACTGAACAAGTATGGATTGGAAATGTTGCCTTCGAATTCATTGATAAAATATTACCTTTTTTTAGTAACAATCTAGAGAATTTGTAAGGGTCAGAGATCGGTAACTTGCAGAATACTTGAAGCCAGTGACGTAAATCTCCGTGTTACAGCCTCGCTGACATGATTTCAAGACATGTAAGGGTTCGCGTGGAAAGGATTTCCAGTTACCTCATGCCCAAATCAGCACTCCTTCGGTCTTGTAAGGAATCCATGTTCTGTTACGCTTTGCTGCAATTTAAAATGTTTCTCAACATGGTCTCCGTTCGATTTTAGTGGCGCTTATTCCCGATATCCATATGAAAGAACTAGCTCAATCATCTGTTTTGCTCTATTTTGTGAACAAGTAACCTCGTGGGAAGCAATAAGCTATCTTTATTTCAATACAAAATTTCTCTATTACTTTTATATGACTCACGATACAATCTCAATTCGGCGAAAATCACCAAGAATAGTCTCATGAAGTGACTGACCGACATTATAACGGACCCCGCCTAGTCCGGGCCGGACGATTGAGGCCAAAAAAAGGCCCTGCGAGCAAGGTACAGTATCCGTAGTAAAAATCGCTATAAGCATTGTATTGAAGAAACCTAAAGATAAATGAAACACAACATTTGTACATTGTTCAGATCTGTTCAGTTACAGTTATTAAAAATGGTCGTTTTACATTACATTCAGCCAATTTACAAGGATAGTGTTACTCAAGGACCTTAGTATCCGCTGGTATTATAAAACGGGCGAGGGGCCTTTTCATATTTCATGAAAAAAATGGGAACTTTTCTTCGGGACAAAAAACATACGTTTTTATAAAATGGCTGAGAGAAGAGATCGCAGTTTAGCCCACATTTCTTGATAGAATGCGAAACGGTCTCTTTCAGTCCTTTCAAACTGTATTCTGGACTGAAACACCAGCATTTTTTGCGTTTGTCACCAATATTGCTCGGCGCATGCACATTGCATCAGATCCTTATTTTAGAGGTCGTGAGCGTGCCCACGCAAATATATTTTAGGACCCTTCACGGATGAAGGATAATATCAAGCACATTGTGTCCTGGTTCTATTCAGACCGAAATGAAACAAACTGAAAAGCTATCTGAAGCAGCCTCTATCACTGAGTTTACTCAACCACCTACGCAATGAAGTAGAGTTTGTGTCAAACCCAAAACCCATATAACAATATCATATGTTTCTTGTTTCTCTTTTAAGTCAATCACGTTTGTAAACTCTCGTATCATTTAATGATGATCTCGTAAATTCTACGTCAACAAAAATATTAATTCGTTAACTTTGAAGAGCACTCGAGTCCAAAAATTGCAGAGAAAATTGTAAATTTAATTTTGTAACCGGATTTAAAGCAAGCAACGAAATTTCTGTCTGGAATACAATTACTATTTAATTTCAACACAGAATTAAAAGTTTGCATCAACACGTATAGTCCAATATACTGTAGTAAGTCAGTGACACTACTTCTCAACAGATCACTTTCGTGTTGGCGAAACAAAGGCATGACGCTTTAAGTTCTATGGCGTTTTTATTTAAGTTACAATGTATAGAAACTCATAGAGTTTTGCCTTTTTTTCCAGACTGTTACGTTCGTAAACACTTAACTCACTTGATTGATGCTCCATACCATTTACGTCAAGAAAAAAATTATTCAAAATGCGACTGTGCCTTTTATTTGAAACATGCTTAAACGGTATCTTTTGATTTTACTAGAAAATTGACTCAAACTTGGTCAAATCAATTTTTAATGAGCTACAAAAACCTAGCAAACCAGTAAAAGTTCTATTGTACACAGGAGTTTTGTCATTCTTCTTAAAAACTATCCGGGCTCCGGTCGGAAATAAAAACTTCCCGTGTCCAATTTATGATTTAGACCGATTACTGACAGCCCTCTTTCAGAGGCAAAAAATACCCAGATATTCGTTTATAAATCCATACATGAACAATACTAAACACAGTGGCCAACCTTCCGATATAACGAACAAAGTTAATATTGTCAACCTTGTCGATCAGTATGTAAAGATAGTGAACGGGACCGCAAACTGATCACGTCAGTAGAACAAGTTGCCGCTAATAACCACAACTAACAGGCTCGGTCACGGAAAGGCGAAGAATTTGCTGGAAATTTCCTCTGATATTAGGATGATATAAGGATGTCGTCGAAGCATTTTTCTGTCATCACTCCCGGCACAGTAGGTGAGGTTTCCCTTCAACAATCGATCATGAAATGGTAACTCAACCACATTAATCGTGCTGCTCACAACCAGTAAGTTGGTTGAATTGATGATTTGTTTACTTTATTTTTGACTCGTCAGTTGACCCCTTGACTTGATTTTTTAATTTTTTTTTACTAAATTTGTAATTTGTAACTATCGTTTTCATTAACTCTTTTATATGTATATACCTCTAACTAACCGAGTTCGAGGTCCGCACTGTAAGTTACGGATCGAAGGAAAGAAGGAAGACTCAATTAGTGAATTGCGAGTTTTCCTTTGTAATGTATTGTAAATATTTTTTAGAAATGTAGCGTAAATTATTGAAGTAGCCTACTCTTACAAAGTGCTGTATTGTAAAATTATTGCAAGTAATGTACTGCTAGTACATAGCAGACGATGTACTTAATTGCAATGTCAAAAACAATTGTAAAGTATTGCAAGTTATATATTGTCTAGCAATGTAATGAACTGTTTAAGGTGATTCCTCAGAAATAAAAGTTGCAGAAAAATTTTTTTGAAACTTTCCCTGAATATTCCCTACCAAGCACTATCTCGAAAAATACCATAAAAAGAATATTTTACCATGCTCGCTTAAGTGATATGATGGGCCAGTCTTATCCCATTTATGCCTAACCATGCTCGTTATTTCATCAGTTCACGTTACATTTTGCGGTAGCTGAAAGCAAAGGTTACTAAAAAAGTACTTGAAAAAAATCTTGATAGGTATAAAGTCTCGGGAGCTTGGAACAATGTAATTTATAATTTATGAAAAAATCACTCAATTCTAAACGTCTTTGACTCAAACGTTCCTGGAATCGTTGTTTTCGAGGTCATAATTCGCATTTTCGAGTAACGGTTTTGTTCACTCTTTTAGCTATATCGAATTTTCCTTCTGAACAATTTTTTTTTTCTTAATTTTTTTAACTAAAAGCGGGTGATTTGTTCACCAAAATGATGCAAAAAAATATAGGTCACCATGCTTGTTTAAGAGCTTATTAAACGAGCATTTATTTCGCTTTCGAGGTTAGCTTGAGGGAAATCTCTAACGTGTGTAAGTGCATGCGCTCATGTGAGAGCGCTAATGACGCGAAAATCGTGCGCAGTAGAGATGCGCAATGCAATACTGAGGAATATAATCACAATAGTAAGTGTTGTATTGTAAAACTATTGCTAGTACTGTATTGCATGCAATGCATTGGATTGTACGTAATGTTAAAAAAAATGTACTGTAAGAAAAAAACATTAACTCTTTCATTAGTTCATTTGTTACTTCTGTGGTTTAATTGTTTCATTCTTTTGCATTTTCAATCAATCGTTCGAATATTCGTTGCTTCTTTCACTCGATCGCTTATAGTTGCTTCAGATAAATCTTCGCTGATTCTATTAATTGCATCAAACGAACACACCAATCAAGGATCTGAGCAAAAGGACAACTGGTCTCAAGTACGGAAAGTGTGAGATCAGGACATGTGGTAAGCAGGCATGCAAATTCATTGGAACGAAAGAAAGTCTTTCCCCAAGAAAAGAGTTTAACTTCCGCAGGACACAGTCCGGTGCCACTATTAGGCCCCGCCCATACTACACCGGACGAATTTGAAAACGGAGGTTTCACTCTGAAAACGGATCAAATGTTTACCGTCCACACTACGCCGGAGGAATTTAAACAGGCAACAATCATCGGTCATTTTGGGTTTGTGTTTGAGGAAAAATCGCTCAGGGAAATCACGTGATCATCGTGAAGACATCGTTTTCGAAAAGCTCCGTTTTCAAAGTGTTTTCTGACCACATGAAAACGAAAACGAAAAGTCCGGGTTTTCAAATCCCTCCGGTTTGAAGAGCGTTTTCGAAAAGCTTCGTTTTCGTGACGGACTAGTCTGGACAGCAGGCCTAACCGACCTAACCTTACAGATAAAGCTGCGTTTTCAAATTCCTCCGGCTTGGTTTGGACATTTCCTTATTTTTACTAAATATTATATGCAGGTGAAAGTTGCTGTTCAAAAGTTTGACTGCTTCTTATGTGACGACTTTTAAAGTAAAAAAAAAAAAATAAAATGAAACTTCGATAATGAGGTTCCGATACATGCTTCTTTCAATTATAGCGTTGATAGTTTCTCCGCAACTTAACTGCTTCATGACAAGAAGAGATGTTACTTTTGACATCGTGAGGGCCTGGGCAGAGTTGATTAAAAATGGGGCTGATAATTTGCGCCTTCTCAAAAACGCTGCTACCTTGGCGGAAGGTCACGTCTTAGGCCTTTCGGCACAAATGTCCGGATATTTTTAGGGATATCTAGAAGTTTGCGAGATATTTAGAACCTATTAAAATATTTAGAAATTTTAGGGATATTGAGAAATATTTATAGCTTCTTTGGCTGAACCCTGTGCTTTTCTTGCTATTTTCTTGAAACAAGTAATACTCAGTTCCATGCCAGAAACAATCCAGATCATCGATCTCCCCTCAAAGAATGTATTCCATATCACTAAAAACGCCAAAAGAGCAATTCCAAAATGGCAGATGCTGGTAACATCGAAGCGCCTGAATCTTCCTCCCCAACTACCACTACTGCAATAAAATTTTGTCTAAGAGATTCAAAATAGATATATTTTAAAACGTACAAAAATAAGAGATATTTAGAGGGGTTCTCGAGATATTTACAAAAAAATTTGTGATATTTAGAAGCTTTTTTTATAACTTCCGGGAAGATATTTAGGCAAGTTTATGTAATATTTGTGGAAAGCCCTTTAGGGAACAGAGAGGACAAACAATATAAAGCTCAGCGAAAGGCAACCATCATGTTAACTTTCTCATCTCGGGCTGGTGCTCTTATCCACTTTAATTTGATCAAATTCACTCTTGTTATCTTAACTCAACGCTACTGAACAGGGAAACCCTTTTTCTATAGAGTTTTAATGAAGTTTAATCTATCGGAATGTCAAATTACTTCCTTTCTAAGAAGTCAAAGAAATTATTTGTTTGTAAAAGTAGACAGAAAAAATAGTTTCTCCCACAGTAATTGTGTTGTTTAATACAAGAATGAAGTACACGGTCATGTTATCTTTAGAAAACATTACTTTTGGTTTGCACACCAATGAGTCTTTTGGCTGATTCAGTCTTTCTTTATTAGAAATTACAGAGACTTTAGCAGATGTTTTCTATTTTCCATCGTTGATAACTTGGGAGCTTGGTGAATTCGGTAATAACAAGTATTGTGGTCGCGTAAACGACAAATCATTTTTCCTAACAAGGAAGCTGACGAAGGATATAACTGGCTTCATGTGACCATCCGTTATTTTGCTCCGTTGTTCTTTTAAGAACAGCGGTTATTAAAATAACCGTTTTATACTCTGCGATAGTGACAATCTTGAAAAGAGGGAAACAAGCCTCACCAAACCAGCGTTATTTAAAGAAGCGAAGACAAGCTTCTCAAATGGGAGTTGCAATCTTAGTGCTGTTTTACATTTGTGTTCAGTATTCCACATACTTTGTTGCGTTTCATGCATTTCTGAAGACCATCTTNTCTTGCTATTTTCTTGAAACAAGTAATACTCAGTTCCATGCCAGAAACAATCCAGATCATCGATCTCCCCTCAAAGAATGTATTCCATATCACTAAAAACGCCAAAACAGCAATTCCAAAATGGCGGATGCTGGTAACATCGAAGCGCCTGAATCTTCCTCCCCAACTACTACTACTGCAATAAAATTTTGTCTAAGAGATTCAAAATAGATATATTTTAAAACGTACAAAAATAAGAGATATTTAGAGGGGTTCTCGAGATATTTACAGAAAAATTTGTGATATTTAGAAGTTTTATAACTTCCGGAAAGATATTTAGGCAAGTTTACGCAATATTTGTGGAAAGCCCTCTAGGGAACAGAGAGGACAAACTATATAAAGCTCAGCGAAAGCCAACCATCATGCCAGCTTTCTCATCTCCGGCTGGTGCTCTTATCCACTTTAATTTGATCAACATTCACTCTTGTTATCCAGCTTAACTCAACGCTACTGAGCAGGGAAACCCTTTTTCTATGGAGTTTTAATGAAGTTTAATCTATCGGAATTCTCCCACAGTAATTGTGTTGTTTAGTGCAAGAATGAAGTACACGGTCATGTTATCTTTAAAAAATATTACTTTTGGTTTGCTCGCCAAATGAGTCTTTTGGTTGATTCAGTCTTTCTTTATTAGAAATTACAGAGACTATAGCAGGTGTTTTCTATTTTCCATCGTTGATAACTTGGGAGCTTGGTGAATTCGGTAATAACACGTATTGTGGTCGCGTAAACGACAAATCATTTTTCCCAACAAGAAAGCTGATGAAGGATAAAACTGGCTTCATGTGACAATCCGTTATTTCGCTCCGTTGTTCTTTTAAGAACAACGGTTATTAAAATAACCGTTTTATACTCTGCGAAAGTGATAATCTTGAAAAGAGGGAAACAAGCCTCACCAAATGTAACCGGACAGCGTTATTTAAAGAAGCGAAGACAAACTTCTCAAATGGGGGTTGCAATCTTAGTGCTGTTTTACATTTGTGTTCAGTATTCCACATACTTTGTTGCGTTTCATGCATTTCTGAAGACCATCTTGTGCTTTTCCGAGATATTTTACTTTATAGCAGTCTTTTTGTAATTCTTATCTTCTGTTGTCAATCCAATAATTTGACTGTCTTTTGTGGAAAGTTACCGTGGTGGGTTGAGAAACATTGTGTGTTATTTCTGCGGAATGCGGGATAATAAGAAGGCGAAACGAGAATTCGGGAACTAATGCAGATATTCCGGAACTAATGCAGATATTTGCAAACGGTAAACGGCGTTTTTATTCTTTCATGGAATTCTACGTGTCTGATACACCTAAAATATCAATGGGTAAAAATTTGATCATAGTACCACTTTAAGTTTATTGTTCAGTTCCTTACTTACTCCAGTTACTGGAAAGTCCATGAACAAAAACAACATGCCACTCTTTTAGTAAAGTAAGAGTATTGAATTGAAACGGTCAGATGAATCTTGGTGAGATGAAATCAGCTGTTATATCTTCTGAGATACAATATTTAGCTTTTTTTATTCGGCAGTGATTGTATTTTACACGACTCATAGCCACTATTTTACGATGGCTGCAAAAAAGTTCAGCGAAAGTTTAGATCACAGAGAAACAACTCTCCAGTGATCGTTGCCACAACGGTGATCGTAGCGACTACAGCGCTCCTATGGAAACCCATCCTCGGAGACCCAGGGTCAGCTAGACGGGACAACGCGATATTTTCGGAAACTATCGCGTCTTTCCGACTAGCTGCCCCTGGGTCTCCGAGGATGATGGAAACTAGCCTTTTGGTTGTTCCTCTAAAGTGCAAATACCAACTGTTTGGCTCAAAAGCAAAGCAGAAGATCATGTCATTGAAAAACAACATTGCGATAGAAACCCTATTAAACGGCCACCTTTTACACGGCCACCCCTATTAGGAGTCCAGTAATCAAAGTCCCTTACACACAAGAACCTTGAGCAACCTTGAGAAGCAAGACTTTCTTCAGAAGAAGAAAATCACAACCAGATTCCGAAACAGACGTAACGCCTCCTTTTTCCATGTTTGCTACTTTTCGTAAAGCATACAATGAAGTTCGAGACTTTTTATTTTGAGTGGCACAACATATATGTTTATATCAGCAACAATTTAGCCAGGTATTTCTAAGTTTACACTTACAATAGCCATAGGAAAAAGAAAACAATTAAGCCTAACAGGTGTCAGAGTTACATCGTAAAAAGTTACGTCTGACTTAGAGAGATTGCAAAGGAAAATTGTGGCCTTGTTTAAGCATGGTTGACAGACAATTGTTTGTCATACATACAATATTGCCAAATTTTCGTAGCAGTAAGATTGAAATCAAACATTTAAAGAAGACGACACACCGTTTAAATTTGCAAGACATGTTTCGGATACTCAATATCCATCTTCAGTTAAAGGATGTTTACAAGTGAGTGACTTTATATAAAGTAGGTAACAAGCAGGTGTAAATTACAAAATGTAGAATAATAGTTCAAATAGTGAAAAAGTTACAGTTAAATTAAAATGTAAGAGTTTTGTTTATTCAACGCTGGTCTTTCCCGTTCAATGTGAAGGGCTTCTTTGATCTTAAGTTAGAAATTAGTAAGAGCTGAGTCTAAGATGGAAAACAATTAAAAGAGCGTAGATTCTTACACGACTCAGAACCCTGAAGAAGTTTATAGATATGGGAATTGCGATCCGAGAGTAAGTGCTCGCGAACCCTGATGCCAAAATATCTTACTGGTTTCAGCGACATAACAGGTATGACATCCTGCACGTGTGAATTTGTAAGCCACCTGGGAACGGAGCGCATAAGGGATCGAGTCGTTCACACTATACATGTTACTTAACTTATGGGAAGAGAAGGCTAACCTAATGTCTAAATCCTTACAATATTTCTTAGCGATGATTTTGATTTTACGCTGCGCTAAAAGGGAAAAGGGGCCAATGTAAGGTTATTTGAAAAACCTTTTGGTCTTTCCCTTAGAATGGCCCTGCCGCAAATTAACATTGTAGGAATGGTCCTACAATGTTAATTTTAGGTTCACATTTTCTTGGTAAAACTGACTTTTGTCCGCATAACTAATATAGTAGGCAATGAAAAAAAAAAAAAAAAAAAAATGAGTAGGTCCGTAAGCATCATGTTATCATTGTAATATTATGGCTGTTTAAACAATAAACTATTGCAATAGAAACTGAAAGAAACCTTTTAAATGAATGCTCTTTTTGATTTTGTTGAGGTAAAAATGTGTACCTAAATGTTAAAAAAAATCATCAGTTCATTGGCTATCCGAGTGGGCAATTGCCCTCTCGGGATCCTGTGTTGTGTCCCTCAAGAAAGAAATCTGTTTTTTATCCGATATAATAAATCGTTTATCAACCGAGCCTGTATTAATAATGATAAGCTTGTATTATTGATGTACATTTCATTGTAATTGTATTAAAATCCATTATTTAATTAATAGCCATTAAAGGGACACTCTTACCATTTTTAGCATGATTTTGTAAATCTCATATTTCGATCTTTGGAAGCTGAAAAATAATGGTCTTACTTTGTAGAGCAGTACTCAGCAAATGATTGGAACCCATTACGAAGTGAGGATGGCTAACGATGGCGAGGATGGAAACAGATTGCGATATGGATTTTTCAAAAAGCGTCAGGATGTCAGTTTTTCAAAGGTTCATGTTTGGCTTGAAAATCGTTGAAATTTTGAAAAAAATGTTGCTGCAGTGTGGACTTTTTTCAAGAAATTGCTTTCAATCATTTAGTTAGTGCTAATTAAATTCTTATTGCTTAAATTTAGGGACCATTTCGTGAATTTATAACAGTTTTAAGCCAATATATCATGACAGTGTCCCTTTGATTACTCATCCTATTGAAATCAACGTGCGTAACATACATATACATAACCATGCAGTCTGATGGACATGAAGAGACCTAAGTTGGAGGTCTAGAGTTCTTTATCCAAAAACAGCACACCGAACAGATGCAGGAAGAACTTGGGTTCCATGGCAACAGCGGAAGCCGAATGGGACGTACAACGAGGCACCACACCTTTGACATGTTGATCTTAAGGGAGCCACGGCGTTTCCATAGCAACATCGTTGGAAAAAAGGATTGATGAAATTGCTCCCACAAAATTGATGGTGAGGGCCTGGGACGGGACACCTCTGGAACCTGGGGAAAATTTGTCCGTTGCAGCATTGATGAGTCTTTGGGTTGTAGTTATGTCCGCCACACTTGAACGGGATGCATGGTGCGAATCTAGGGAGCACTTGTCCCTTGCAACATTGTTGGCGTTGAGGATCGTAGAAAGCATGTCCACAAGGCACTCCAGCCGGACAGGGAATATGTCTCGACACCACCCGATTAGAACAACACTTCTGAAAGGTTGGATCATAGCTAACCCCACCACACTGCATTGGGAAAGGATTGCACGGCACGTGTTTGGAGATGACTTTACCGTTGCAGCATTGCTCATTGAAAGGGTAGTAGCGCTCTCGTTTGCAGCGTAACCGTTCACACTTGACGGTTCTGGGAATCACGTGGCCTTTACAGCATTTCTGATATTTACGGTTGTACAGCGAGTAACGACCACATTTAGACATGCGTTTGCAGAATGGGGCAAGGCTTGTCAAAATGATGCGGTCACGACAGCATGTTTTGGTTAAAGGGTCGTCGATCAATTTACCTCCGCAACAGTGAGGACTGTCACCACACGGCGCTGGGAACAGATTGCACGGCACGTGTCTGGGGATGACTTTACCGCTGCAACATTGTTGGAGCTGAGGATTGTAGAAAGCATGTCCACAAGGCACTCCAGTCAGACAGGGAATATGTCTCGGTACCACCCGATTAGAACAACACTTCTGAAAACTTGGATCATAGCTTACCCCACCACAGTGCGTTGGGAACAGATTGCACGGCACGTGTTTGTAGATGACTCTGCCGTTGCAGCATTGCTCATTAAAAAGGTAGTAGCGTTCTTTTTTACAGCGCAGCCGTTCACACTTGACGCTTCTGGGAATCACTTGGACTTTACAGCACCTCTGATATTTACGGTTGTACAGCGAGTAACGACCACATTTAGACATGCGTTTGCAGAATGGGGCCAGGCTCGTCAAAATGATGCGGTCACGACAGCACGTTCTGACTGACGGGTCGTCAATCCATTTACCACCGCAACAGCGAGGGCTCTTGCGCATGCCATATGGGCACTTACCCAGGAGTTGATAAGATCTTGGTCTAAACCGCGGCGATCTTTTCGCTATATCTGCAAAATAAAAAACAAAATCTTATTGTGTGTGGAAAGATATTTAATTTTACACACTTCGGTTTGTGTGTTGAAACATGAGCTCTATGAGCAAACCTGTAAACTTCTCAGTGAATGATGCCTGACATGCCTAACGTTTTTTTAAATTTGTTTTGTTTTCATACATAAAGTAGGTCCGCAAGGAGTCAGTTCTAGTTATACGAGACAATCAGAGCTGACAGATATAAGCCAGCCTTTTCGTGACCCTTTCCTTGTCTCCTCGCAGCGTCTACGTCACCGCTACGTGGCGTACGCCCGAATACTTTCCCCGACCAATCAATGAACCAGAAATTTTAACACAATTAAAAAAAGCTGCCATCAACACTTTCCTTGTCCGACAAATTAACCAGAAGTTTTAACAACCATTTTATTTGAGGTATTTGAACTAACAGTTCCATTTTTAGCGCAACACTCGCTCCTAGAGATGTCAAACGATATATATGCCCGCAAAAGAGCGAAATTGCGATGAGAAGTTTAACATATGATCGACCAACTCTAGCTTTGCATAATCTTATCCACCAGTATAACCCGTAGGTTGGTTACGCAATCCATGGGTTAAAAACGAGAAGAAAGGGGAATTCTAATCATCAAATGACAACGAAAGATCCAATAAAAGTTGAAAGTATTCTATAAAGGCCCTATGTATCAGTAGTGTGGTAATTTACGATTTTCGATAAACATGCGATGAAAAATTTTAAAAAACGATTATTTGCAGTAAACAACTTAAGCAGCTCAGGGACTATACTGTGATCCCCAAACCCATCGTTTTCCAAGCATTTTTGTAAAGGATCTTAGTAGACTTTACACTTGATTGAGCTATGCTCAACAGCTTTGTCAAAGATGATTCATTTTGAAATTAAACGTCATGTTTACATCTTTTAAATTCTTTGTTCAAGATCGATCTAAATTTTCCTCATCGTTAACAATCGACATTCCGTTTTGGTTTATTGTCATCTCTTTGTTATTTTTCTACCTTTTGAAATAATAAATTAAAGGTGCCTGTCAAATTCAAGGCAATTCAGGGACGCAACCAACCGTGCAGGGCTTTTTAAACATCATGGGCTTTTTCCTAGCCACCCAATTGTAAGATTAGCGATGAATTACTTCGTCAAGAAATTAGATTTAAACAATTCTCTGGAAAAATAGACGTGAAAGCAATTGTTCAGCACCGAGCAAAAAAGGGCCGTCTTGAAACCTATACAGACGGTGCTGTTATCCTTATCGTATCCCGCAAGACACCTAACCTCGTTTGTTCAAGTTGTGTTTTTCATCAACTTGGTATAACTTAAGGTTATGTACAAAAAGAAATCATAAAATCTAACCTTCTTGTATATCCACTGCATCGTCGAACGATGGCTTCTCGACTTCTTCAACCTCTTCGGTGTTATTCACCACGCCGAGTTCTTCGTCAGGCGTAAGCCTTTCTTCTTCAGCACTCACAGCAGCACGTGAGACAACTGCAGTGAAGAAGATAATGCCCCGAAGTACTTGCACCAACTTCATGTCTCACTCTGTTCTGCCGTAATCTGTTGAACTGTGATCTTCCTTGGCTGAAACCCGTCATTTTTGGAGTTTTACAGACACTTGAACATTATTTTAGTCAACGAGGTAATCTTGGACGTATTTAATTAATTTACTGCACTTTGATCGATTGGGGTAAACCTGACTCAGCTGAAAGTCAATATTTGGATATATATTAGCTAAGTTCAGTGAATTCTCGAAGTTCTCACGTCAACTACTTTGAGGTTTCCTTTGGACGTGAGTTGCTCCGATGCCCTGAAAACTTTTTTTAATTCGATCAGCGATATTATATTAACATTATTCCCAAGCTTACGACAGGCTGTAATTCTAAAATGTATAGTGTAGCCGGAGTAAGTCTATATGTTTTCGCCGGTAATCAATCAGATACGCTTAAAGTTGTGTGTACTGATAGTAACATAAATCAATTTTTTAATCCTTGTTTCAGATGGGATTGTAATAAAACCGTAAACTAATGTTCAATTGAAATATAGAAGCACTGTTCGATTTTGACGTAAGTGAATGAATATTGGTTTAAATTTATAATTAAACGTGGGAGAAAAAGTAATTAGTACTATAAAATATTGCTTCAGTAAAACCCACTAGTACTCGAAGCCACCTGTGCTGGAAGCAGAAAATGCTGTCTCGGTCCGGCTGCACTTTCTAAACCCCTCATTCATTCTTTTTTAGACGTTTTGATAAAATGAGGAAATGATTTTTGTTTTTGTTTTTTAGTTTAGTTCAGATTGTTACCATCAACTAGACGTTTATGTACAATAACCTTGAGAATACACAATGAACAATATATACACAGTTTCCTATTTTTGACTTTTTTATACGCTGACTTTAAGGGTTTTTTTTATAAATACAATGACGTTTCTACTGGTCCTTAAAACAATAACGTGTTCATCGGCTTGTTTGATTTAATATAGTGGCGGGTTTATTATGACCCTTCAGACTGTATTCAGTTAGGGGGTGAACCCTAAAACAGAGGACTCCTTTTTCGGCCAGCTCATTATAATTAATACGGCCGCGGGAGCTTTTTAATTCGGGCTCTTTTCGGCTTCGCAGGGATTAAAGGCCTTTTTGTGGTGAAATGTAAATGTCGAAAAATTTGGTGCTATATCTGGTAGAATAGTTTTAGTTGTTTACATATTATGACTAATTTTATCGCAGATTGTTATTTTAAAATGATTTATATCCATAAGTGGTATTCAATTTTTAAAAAAAAACCTGATCCAAGTAAGTGATTCTCGATCCTTGAAACTCCCATGAACGTGAAAACAGATATATAGCAAGATTCCGGATCCATACTGACCAAACTGGCAATGATTGATTCCTAGTCGCGACCATCTTAGTAGCAATACAGTATCACTTACGAATATAAATGCATTTTACACTGATAAAAAAAGTCTGAATGGCAGCACCCTCTCTCCCTCTCTCAGCTGTGTAGACGCATTGAGGTAAGCTAGCACAAAGAAAGAGACGAGAATGCTGTAACGCAAACTTATTACGTAACTAAACAGTAATCTAGAAAGTGATGACATGACAAGACTCCGCTCGTTCGTTTGACGTTTCTCCATGTGTTTTTTGATCACGTGACATTGTTGTCCGATGATTCCACAACCGCTGGGCTAGCCGTAAAGGAGTTTAGCAGAACAAATGGTTCTCCGCTAAACTAACTATTGTCCCAAATTTAAACGAAAACTATATATTGAGAGAATTAATGTGTAAAGAGTTCAACTCCCACAGGACAAAGTCCTGTGCCACTATGAGGCCTCGTCCGCGCTACGCCGGAGGAGTTTAAAAACACAGCAATCGATCAGCGGCCATTTTGGATTTGTGTTTGAGGAAAACTCCGTCAGGGAGATCACATTATTATCGTGACGCCATCGTTTTCGAAAAGCCCCGTTTTCAAAATGTTTTCCTTCCACACGAAAACAAAAAGCTGGCGTTTTCAAATTCCTCAGGTTTGAAGAGCTTTTTTCCAAAATCTCCATTTTCGTCACGGATTAGTGTGGACGGTAGGCCTAACGCAGAAATATACCTTATTCCTCCGGTGTAGCGTGGACGCTGCTTTATTTTTACAAAAAATTATGCAGACAAAACTTGCTGATGAAAAGTTTGATTACTTTCTTTTCGACGACGGTTTTTCCTTAACTTCTCTGCTTCAGGCTCTGCTTCATAACCAGAGGAGATGTTCTTTTTGACATCGCGAGGGCCTGAGCAGAGTTGCATCAAAACGAGGCTGAAAATTTGGCGCCTTTTCAACGCGGCTACCTTGGCGCATGGCAAACAAAGCACGCAATGTCTGCAATGTTTTGTCGTGTTTCCAGCTCGTTATTCGACGATTTATAGCGGAGAACTGAAGAGCTCGGAGAAAGCTAAGTTCTTTTTTATCTCTTTTTCTCGTACCTTTTAATTCAGAAGTAGACAGGTTTCCTGGCCAATTTGTCGCTACGTTTTTCCAAAGTCATTTATCGAAGGAAACAAAGTTAAGTGCACCTTTGTTTTGGTTTTCTTTGCCCTGTGTTTTATTATAGCTTAAAGAAAACTAAAGCTAAAGCTTAAAGTGTACTTGTCAAGTTATCAAAGGAGGTTTTTTGGGCATTTCAGTACTAATTACATGAACTTTCTCTTTCTCTTTGAGACTGCATTGCTCACATTTCAAGAGCTCCCATTTCAAGCCAAGCGGACCCCCCTACAAACTTTGGTAAGTGGTTACGTGTTTTCGGCTTTTACTAAAGCTGTGATCCATTGACACGTTTTCTATTCTTTCCTGACTAATAGAATTTAAAATCAGCTTCCAATGTATATGCTTAAGTTTACGTACTTATGCTATAGAGATGTATACCCGGCTTTTCTAATTAAATTGGAAGCGGAGTTTGCAAATATGCGTACTAATATATTAGTAGGGAGTTTTAGCAAACCACGATGGCGACGGCGACGAGAGTGTCATGAAACAAAAGGTTTAATGAGCAGAACAATAGCTGTGCACGTGAGTTTTGAATCTTTGTACATTTCTTCGCCGTCCTCTGCAAAGAAACAACGTGAAATGTCTAAATTCTACGTAGTTTGAAGAACGCAAACCGCAATGACTAATTTTTCGTATCTTCTTTTGAAAGTGAACGCTGTCGGTGCGTGTTTAGCCTGAGCAAGATTTTAGACCGATAGGCGTACTGAACAGATCGAGCCAATTGCGACATTCGAAGGTAAACTATAAATTCGTTTTACAAGGCGTAGTCTCCGCCGTCGCCTTCGTCATTGCTAAAACTCCCCAGTGACGTATCAACGAAGTGAGAGTGAACTTTCAGTTCTAGGGCGAACACAAGAAGCTAGACTTCTTACAAGTCGACCTTTGCTTAAGACTTCGCTCATTAGGAAAACCTTAAACAACCTTGGGAAGTAAGACTTTTTTAGAAGAAGAAAACCCAACCAGCTTCCGTAACGGTCGGAATTCCTTCTTTTTTCATGTTGCTTCTTTATTTCAGCAACAGTTTAGTCAGGTATTTCTAAGTGTTGAAGAAATCCACAAACAAATTGTACACTGAAGATGTTTATTCTGTTACTCGTCCTTCCGTCGGTTCGGTACAGCTGAAAGTTACAAATGTAAAGCTTGCGACTCGAACAAATATTGAATTACAAAAAAAACAATACAAATGAGCGACCACTTACATATTTTTGGGCATCTTCAGGCCTAATCAAGATGTCAACATCGAGAAAGTAAAAGGCGAAGGTAAAAGCAAACTTTCCGCCTACACACAAAACAACGCATATCAAACTGCTAAGAGCACATGGTCGCAGAAATCACGTGACCCGCCCAAGGGGGGTACAGAGGGGCACGGTAAGGCAAACTGTCTCTAACACTAAGCTTACACCTATTCAAGAAATAGAAAATATCTTACGTGTTTCTATCAAGTTTTAGTTTAATTCTACTAGCATTTTATCACGAATGCTGTCCTCTGATTTTAGCCATTCAGCCCGCGTAATTTATTAAGCAAAAAGCTGTGTATGACTATGGCCTGACTTAGAGAGATTGCAAAAGGAACTTGCGGCCTTATGTATAAAGTATGGTTGACAAACCATCCGGTTTGTCATTCATACAATGTTAATATTGGTTTCAACTTTCCTTGGTTAAATTACTTCAGTAAAGGCATAAATTTTGTTCCTCATTACTAATATTGTTTAGCGATAAAAAAAAATGAGTGGGTCTGTAATTATCATGTTAACATTGGGGTAATATTATGGCTGTTTAACTTAATGATGTGTTTGCTTGCTTCAACAATAAACTCCTGCATTAGAAGCTGAAAAAATCTTTTTAGTGGGTGCCTTCTTTGATTTTGGTTCAATGAACAATAGCTAACAATGTGTACCTAAATACTTAAAACAAATTATCATAATTAAGAATTCATAATAATAATCATGAATAATTATTCATGGCTTTGTAAATCACTTAAATTTATTTTCCTTTTTACTCCTTTTTTTATAGTTCTGTTTTAATTACTTAATTAAAAGCAATTCAGTCAACAAATTTCTTAATAAAGCAACATCTGAAAGCTGTAATTATAATCAGTAGTAGAGCAAATTCCATACCAAATTGGACTTCTTTTAAGTAATTCACTTCAATTCAAATTTACTGAACAGAAGCAGATTGAAGAGCGGGAGCAGAGATTTTGGTATGGCAGTGGCGAATGATCATTAAATCGTGATGAAATTTAAACAATTGCCGTTCAAATTCACTTAGGTCCGTTAGAGATGACACCAATACTGGTACGATGTCCGCCCTAGAGTCAACCCATCAGCTCTAACCATGCTTCATCAAGTCCACACTTCCAACGCTTTACACTTTAGTCTGATTATACAGTCATGTGCACAGTGAATTGTGGTGTTAGCAAATTACTCTAATCACCATGATGAAAGTTTATTTTTTGTATTCTTATTAAATGGCTAGCCCTCAAGCCCTGTGAGCAGGCAAGATGAACCAAGATTGCTATCCGAGTGGTAAGATGGGACTATCTTTCCCTCTCAAGGAAAACGGATATGCTGTAACACAATATGAAAGATATAATATTTCGTAACGGTTTAACTTCTCTTATGCTATAGGGTATAAGTCGCTATATTCCTTTATGGCATGATAAACAAGTCTCTGTTTACCCCAATGAATGAGTTGCCACTAATCGGATACCCGTGTTTGCGCAAAGAACTCTGGGATCGTCAGGGGGCAAACATTGCAAGTCGCTAGAAGGAAATGTATGTCGAAAAGTTGTTTCGACGCCCAAAAACATGGTTTTGGGGAGAGATCAACGCTTTTTCGCCTTTGTTTTATCGCGAATGGATTTTGGCAATGTTGATACATAGAAAATGTAAGTTTTTGTGTGAATAACCGTGAAATAAGTGATAAAATTTACCGATAAACTCCCTTTTGCATGTGTGAGGTTTACTGTGAAATACATTGAAGAGAACATTGAAAATTTCAATACACGCCTGATCTCGAGAGGCTACCCGGAGCGAATGGTAGAAAAGACCCTCCGAGAAGTTAAATATAAAGACAGAAAAGAAGCTCTAAAACAGAAATCGAAAATTGCAGAAGGAACTACTACCCTTCGTGTC